AATGAATGAATGAATGAATGAATGGCAAAATATAGACGTGCTTCCAGGAAACCAAAGATGGGAAAAGAAAGGGAGAGGGTGAGAGAAATGTAGGCAAACGAGAAGAGGGAGAAAGCAGGAGTGGGGAGAAAGGCAGATCATTGCTGACTGTCTACCCTCTCTCTCCCCTCCCACTGCCTGTTTTCTCTTCCCACGGGCCCCCTGTTCCTTGCTCTCCACAGCTCCTCCGGGGATGCTGAAGGTGCAGATTCAGGGCCCTGGCTGGGGAACTCCCTGTTAGCATCCCCTCTACTGGGCCAGATATGGGCAAGAGGCTCAGCATTGATGGGGGCAGGGAGCCAGTTCGGTCCTCATGTCTCAACCCTGACAGCTGAGCAGCTTGATCAGACCCTTCCTGCAGCTTCCCCGCCCTGGGGCAGGAGCAGATTCCTGGCCTGCCAGCCCCAGCCAGGCTGGGAAGCAAGCTGGCTCCAGCCTCCTGGGCTCTCTGTGCACAGGAAGCACAAGGCTTTCCCACCCCCCAGCTCCAAGCTGGAAAGTGGAGGTGATGGGGTGGGGGCCATGGTCCTGACCAAGGTCACCCAGGTGGGGTCTCCTCCTCCAGCCTGGGAGGTCACTCAGAGATCCTGGGACATCCCAGGAAGGACCTGTCTGACGAAGTCACATAGTCCAAGCCCTTTGTGTTACAAGTGGGGAAACTGAGGCCCAAAGAGGGTAGGTAGCCTTCCCCGGGTCACAGCTGGGGGCATTTTGGGGTAGAGCCAGGCCTGGAATCTGAGCTCCTTAGCTGCTCGCCCTAGACGCCCGCACTTACTCCCTCCCTCTTGTCCTTTCTTGCTGCTTGCCTGCTTCCCTAGTTTCTGCCATATTTTCCCCAAATGCAACAGCATTGTCACTTAAACGATCATCATTTTTAAAATACTAAAATACAAACAAGTGTCAAGAAGAAAACAAAAGTTCTGTCACCCTGAAGGTTAACATTTACTAACGTTTGGGGATACAAAGTTCCAAAATGTGTCACATGTGCTTTTTCCAAAAGTGGGATTGGTCTTTGCACACTGATGTGTCCCTTGCTTTTTTCTTAAAGTCAGGTTTATTGAGGTATAGTTAAAATATAGCAAAATCCTCCCTTTTTTGGAGAACACAGTTCTATGAATTTTCACACGTCTTTCACTGTGAAACCACCTCCTGAGTCTAACATCATGGGCATCCTTCCATTTCAGGAAATAACCTAAATACCCAACTATAGAGGATTATTATTTATTTATTTTTTTAAAATAGAATGGTCGTGCCATATTTAACTGATCCCCTGCGGCTGGGCATGGAGGTTGCTTCCCATCCTTCACTCTGATAAGCGATGCTGTGATGAACATCCTTTTTCCTCTTGTACTCAGGAGGGACCTGATCTCCAGTGCAGTGATGGGTCCAAAGGTGGGCACAGTGTGCCTTTGTGCCCTCCTGCCAGCCCCAGCACCCCTCCATCTCACTAAGCCCCCACCTTCTCCCTCCGTCTCGCCCGGCTGCAGGGAACCGGCTGGATGAGGGCTCAGACGTGGAGTCGGAACCCGACCTCCCGCTGAAGCGCAAGCAGCGCCGCAGTCGGACCACATTCACGGCCGAGCAGCTGGAGGAGCTGGAGAAGGCCTTCGAGAGGACGCACTACCCGGACATCTACACCCGCGAGGAGCTGGCACAGAGGACCAAGCTGACCGAGGCACGCGTCCAGGTGAGGAGGCACCTGCGGGTGTATTTCAGAGATCAGGATGGAGAAAGTCCAGATGGTCTGTGAGTTTAATGCCCCCCACCCCTGGTGGTTTGCAACAGGGGGTCCAGGGACCACAGACACAAGTGATACCACCAGCACTCGATGCAGAGTAAGTGGACAGCAAATGTTGGTCCACTGACAGAGGTGGACAGCCTGTGGGGGAGGGAGAGATACAGAGAGAGAGTAGGGGGAGAGGAAGGAGGGAGAGAAAGGGAGAGAGGGAATGGAGAGCAAGAGGGTGGGAGGAAGGAGGAAGGAGGAAAGGGCATTAGTTCAGCCAGAAGAGAGGGCTCAGGGGGGTATAAAAATCTCCAAATCTCTGATGGGGGGTGAGGTGATTAGAAGAAAAATTTCCAAACAGGTCTAGCTTCCAAAGTGGGTGATGAGTTTCTCATTATGGGAGCATGCAAGTGGACTGGCAGGCATGCTCCTGGTGGGTTGGCAGCATGAGGGTGGGGTGGGTGGCCCCGAAGACCTTGCATCCCCTCCATGGCCTCAGTGTGTGGCTCCTAATCAGCAGGCTGAGGAGGGAGAACAGAGAACAGCAAGAGCCTGCTGGGGGTTCAAGAACTGCCCACCCTGCTGTGGGGGAGGGGAGGGCCTGCCAAAGGGGAGAGGAGAGGGGGGAACAGTCTCATGTCCCCCGGCTGAGCTCTCAGATTCCATGAGGCCTACAGTTGCTCACCCGAGTGCACAGCGTGCAGCATGCACGGGTAGGAGAGTGTCTGGGGCCTGGCTGGAGGGTGGGCGGTGGAGGAGGAAGAACCAGGACAGGTCGTGATGAATAGCTTGTGGAAACCCATTCCTGGATGGGGAAGGCGGGTCTGCAGGGGGGCCACCCCAAGCTGCCTACTGGGGCCACCTCCAGCCAAGAGGAGCCAGGCTTTGTTGAACATCCACTTGGTGCCAGCTGTGGTGTTAGGGGCTTTTCACACACAACCTGGTGGAGCCTCAGGCCACCTTGTCAGGTTGGTATGGTCACTCCTGGCCCCAAGCCACAGGTGCAGAAACTGAGGCTCAGAGAAGCGACACGCCCAGGGGCACAGAGCTGGGCAGCGGCTGAGCTGGGCCTGGCTGATGCCATGGACCGTGTTCTTTCCATCCAGTAGAAGGAAGGAGTTGACTCAGAACATGGAATTTGAAAGCTATAGGGAAAGTCCTATGAATATGAAAGCTGTAGTAGGGAACGTCCTAGAAGCAAACTGGAGTTGAGCACTTAGGACCCAGTGTACAGCTGTACGCCCTCCCCACCCCCACTCCCAGGGTGGGGGGCCCTTGGCCGCCTTTGAGGGAGACCCCGAGGGGAAGGGGACAGGCAGCAGCCAGCTCATCTCATTCCCTCCTCCTCTGGAGGGTGACATCCGAGCCTGCCCCCGGCTCCCGGCCTCCCTCCCCCTCCTCTGATCCTGCTGCAGCTGTTCTCCTGGGCACATTCCTGCCCGCTTTCTCATTCCCACGTCTGGAGGCCTCGGCTGCTTCCCACCACCTTGAATCCTGACCGCTCCTTGTAAAATGTCCTGGCTGTCGGGGCAGTGCTTTTATTGGCCCAGGGGACCCAGAAACAGGTGTCACTCAGGTCCAAGGAGGGAGGGGGTCTGGGAATGCAGAAGCAGCCAGAGCCCAGTCAAACCCACACAAGCAAGCCAAGGCGACCTCCTCTACTGTGCTGGCTCCCTGAGCACCCTTTGGGCTCCCCCAGGGCAGAGCTGAGTCTCCCCCACCAGGGCAGAATCTCCCCCAGGGCAGGTCTGGGTCTCCCCCACCAGGGCAGAATCTCCCCCAGGGCAGGGCTGGGACTCCCCACTTAGCCTGAGAGCTTTCTTAGCAGAAGAGGAAACAAAAAATGTTGAGTTTTTGAAGAATGAACAAAGACTGAACAAAAAATCTAGAACATTTATCCTATAGAGGAGGAGACTTGAAAAACATGGCTGTTTTGAGGAGCCCCAGAGAGTTGGATCAGGGCCAAGAGGGGAATGTCTCAAGTCCAACATAAGATCTGCAGGAAGAGAGCTCAGGACCGAGAGCTCTGGGCCTCTGTCTCTGATCAGCTGTGTCATCTTCATCAGGTCACTTTCCTTTCCTAAGACTTACTTTCCCCTCTGTAAATTTGGGGTTGGAAGTCGATCACAAAGACCCTTTAAAGTTCTAGGACCCTTACTTACTGATGATCAGGAACGCCTTGTGAGATGATGAGGTCCCCATTACTGGAAGTTTTCAAGCAGAAGTGTGATGTCCGTTAGGGACTCTGGCAAGAGGATTCCTGCTATGGGGAGCGGGACAGGGACCTTGAGGGCCCCTGAGCACTGCTTGGATTTTATGGCTCTGTGATCCTGAGGTCTTGGTCTCTGACTCTGAGAGACTATGGCTCTGGGATTTTACAACTCTATTCCATCTCATCTCACCAGCCCTGGGAGGTATTCCATCTCATCTCACCAGCCCTGGGAGGTGGGTGGGTTAGTCAGGTGGTTCAGAGTGGGCTCAGAGCCCTCAGTTTCCTCATCTGCAAAATGGAGATGATAATGATAGGTCTGCTTTGTTCTGAGGATTAAGTGGTTAAATGTAGAAAAACAAAGTGAGGACATGCTTGGCACACAGAATGCCATAAGTGGGGACTTGTTATTAGAACTCCACCTGTTCTTGGCAACCCCAATTCCAGCTGTCCTTGCAGCTCCAGGTTCATTCATCTGCCAGTCATTTCCTGAGCACTTACTATGTGCCAGGCGCTGTTCTATGCATTGGGGATTCAGTGGACAGAAATCCCTGCTGTAGTGGAGCTGGCATCCTACTAAACACATAAGCAGGTAAACATTGTGTCTGCAGGGCATAGCCTGTCTCCTTCCTCTGGCTCCCTCCCACACTGCTCCCCCACAGGGTGTCCAGAGCCTCCCCACCCCCACCCCCCC